CGCTCGTGGAAGTGCTTGAGAGAGACGTGGTCGACTTTCTCTGCCAGCAGGCTGTCCGACATGGACTTCATCTTTGCGTGCAGACCCGCTACATGCTGCAGCAACTCCTCCACCTCGCTCGGGCTCCTCCAGCTTGTAAACGTCCTCTTTCTGCTCGACAGCCTTGACTTGGCCGTCATTGCCCTCAGCGGGTTGTCTCGCGTGTTGCTGGTCAGCAGATCCATGGCAATACTCACATCCACCATCTCACCGCTTCTACTACCACTACCTTCTCCTCCTCCTCCTCCTCCTGCATCTCCTCCCTCGTTTCCTCCTGCAATGGCATCGAACAGCTCCCGGGATGCGAGCTTGACGAGCCCTCGTTGATTCGGCATGAAGCGCAAGAGAGCCGCCTGGAAGGAAAGAGCAGAGAGTTTGTGCTGTTTCTCCTTGCTGGCTGACTGCGTCAACACTTCTGCTAGCTCCTCTTCCCTCTCTTCCGCCTGCTCTCTGATCTCAAACCAAAGCTCCTCCACCGCGTTTTGGAAATGTTCCTCGTTGCGAGCCTCTTGCGTCGTGAAGGGGCGGCCCTCACCCATGCGCAAGGATCGAGCTCCGTCCATGTGGGACGTCTGGGCACGCTGCTGCTGCTGCTGCTGCATGCTCGCGTCTGCTGCCGGGCGGAGGGGGTTGCTGCAAGGGCAGACGAGTCAACAGGTCCAGCAAGACAGACGGCAGGCACGTACCTCGCGCACCCATGATCACTTGTTGCAGCAGATCGATGTCCGACATCATCTCTTCTGCCTCCCTCTTCCTCCCATCAGCCCCCTCACGATCTTGTCTTGGGGGCGTTCCCCCGCCCCCTCTCCCTTGCCAGTTCCCTGCCTCGCCGCCCGGGGCCCCGGCACCATGGTCTGGATCCGAATCTTCATCCTGCACTGGCGCATGCTCTCCGATTCCTCTAGAGCCATCTACTCGATCTCCTCCTGTTACTCTTGCCATTTCTATTGGAATCGTGTCTGTTTTCCTTTGCTCGCCCAATGTAACTTCCCTTCCACCAGCAACTTCTTGGCTGCTCTCTGTTCTCCCGTTCCCTGCTACCATCCCACTATTGCCACTTCTCCCACTCTCCGTCTCACTCTCGTCCGCGGCTCCTATCACTCGTTCATCCTTCCCGCCCTTGCTATCCATGGCAACCTGGCTCCCTCCTCCCTCTCCTTCTTTCCGGATCTCCTTCTCTGCTCCTCCTCCTCCTCCTCCTCTTGATGCTCCTGCTCCCATTCTTGGTCTGGTCAACTGCCCACCATATTTTTCGGTGAAAATCCCGTGGGTTCGGACGGGGATGAGGTCCGGGCTTGAATTTCACTGAGGTCCGATCGGACCTGGACCTATTGCGGAACACCAATCTGTTGAAATTGGTGTTCCGCAATAGATGGTGTGCCATCTTTTCCTCTATTTGAAACAATGCTGTTTCAAATCTGCATGCTGCTGGATTGCCGGATATACTTTCGGAGTTAGTAATCTTTGCCAGAAACGACATCCAAGCTTTCAAAAGCACACATAGAATCATGCCTTACCTCGTCATGGATTGGTGTCATCAGAGCTTCAGAGCGAAAGATTCGAGGGGCATGAGATTCTCTCCGGAGGTTTTGAGTTTCGCATCAACAATTCTCAATGCTTGCGACGGGAGTACGTTCCGTTTACTGTCAGGGCCAGGGAACAAGTATACGAGAAACTTCCATTCTGATCAGGCTTTGCATAACTTGCCTCTACCGTCCATATCTACTCTTCATAAGCTGCAGAGTGCAGACATGAAGACACGTGATCTAAACAAGTCAAGAATCTGCAGCGAGGTTTTGCATGATTACGGTGAAATGAATTCTAACCTTGTAGATGGTATTCAAGTGTTGGCGATGGACAAGACGATGATCAATGCTGGGTTTTGTAAACAGTTCGAAGACTGCGAAGCAGATTTAGGTGGAGTCACGGGGAAAACAATGGATTTGTGTGAACGGCTTGAGATGCGACAGAGACGGTTGGCACAGCTTTGTTTGGAGGGAACAACCGCTGAATCGATTCAGGAGCATGTGATAGGCTTATTGAAAACTGACTTGGATCACATCAATGAAAGGAAATCAACGACTGAACGGGACTACAAGAAAATTCGTGATAAGTATGTTGCAAAAATGATTAGCAACAACGCAGATACGAGAAGGAATGTCTCTAATGAAGTCAGGTTTACGCCATATCAATTGTACATGGCCGGGGTCATTGAGGGATGTAGTCAGATCCAAACTCAAGTGCCGCAACTGATTGATCGTCTGAACAACTACATCAGTACCGCCACACCAAGCGAGGACGAGCAGCGTTCAATTCAAGCTGAATTAAATGTATACAATGACTTGTACTACAAGACGGCGATCGCCGAACTAGCAGAAGATGCAATATGTGTTGTTGCACAGGATGGACAAAAGCATATGCCTCCTGCGCCTGTTTACATCGGCTTTGCCCATAAAAGTTTGTGTTCCAAAGATGGAAAGGATATTTTTTTAGCTGTCACCAATGAAGCTTGGAAGAGAGGCGTGAACTTCAATGTGTGGTCTTTCGATGGGGAGTTCGCCTGTATATATCGTTATTTCTACCAAGACAAGCCAAGTACATTCATTCAGGAAGTGAAAGCCATTAACAAGACTGCAACCAGTATGGAATATAGACATTTATGTACATCTATTTCAGCATACATTTCGGGGATATTCAAGTTCGAACCTCCAATTTCAGAGCACGACATTGAGAGTGAGTGCACATTGGACCATCCAGATGAGTACGATGGTGATGACTTGTCGTCATTGCCCATCGCACCTCAGCAAGGAATTGTACACATGGATGTTGCTGAGATGAGAGAAATTAAACAGTTTGTTTTGCAGTTACGACAGAACCAGGCCATTTGGCAAGTTCAGAAGGAGAAGAGGCTACGATGCCACACGAGCAAGAGGCCCAGAGCGACCCTGAAAGAGATGTTTTGCAGGTTTCAAATATTTTGCAGACGGTACGGATATGAAGAAGTTCTTTCATTGGCCAAGCACAATGAAGAGGGGGGGGAAACATTCACTCCTTGGGAGATGGAGCGAAGAATAGCTGATGGACTAAATGACTTTGATGAACACAAGATCCGCTTTAAATTCGACGAATGGTTATCCAATCCCGTCCTCTCTCCAATTACGAACAAGTTGTTGTTTTTCTCGCCGTGCATCAATCACTTGTTGAAGAATGTCAGGCATTCCATTGGATCAGGGAAGTCTCAATCGTCTTCTACGGAAGCCCAGATATGGCATAAAGCTTACAGTGATATCGCCAAGAAGAATCCTGCTTGGATGACTCAGATGGAAGTCGACGGGACCGCCGATCCACAATCGGTGGATATCATGCTGAAGATGTTCAGTGACAAGGCCATCAGTCTACTAAAGGCAGAAGGACATGAAGCGACAGCAAGAATGGCAGAGGCTATGTCTGGCCTGCACAAAGCATTCGATGAAAGAGGGCTGAAAGTTTCAGAGAGGATACGTCTCGTTCAAGAGGGTCGAAGATGGCTATTGGAAGGCATCGACTGGACCAGTGTCAGCCAAAAACATGTCAAGGGACTATCATCTGTAACATTTGAAGGCTTCATAGTTGCAATTGATACTCATCTGCAAGTACAACAGTATGTGAGGGATAAGAATCATGCGCTGGATGATAGAGACTATGACTTCAATTCACGAACTCTCTGCACGGATAGTGTAGAGAATCTGTGGTCCTTGATCGGCCATCTGAACAAGAAGGATTTTCTGAGAAAATTCAATCAGGCATGCATAGAATTATCTAAAAAGGTGGATCCAAACCTGCCTTTTGTGTACGAGCATTCGAAGAAGCGAATTGTCCTGAGCAAACCGCACGACCGTGAAGCTTTCAATGCACGGGATGGATCTGATAATGATGTGGAGCCACACAATAGTACGCAGAAGAACAATCGAAAGCGAGTATATGCTAAATCAGGGCAATGGGATGAAGGATTAACAGGTAATATGCAACGGTTCCGGGGATTGCGTAGCATTGCTGGCTGCAAGTAGAAAAAAGAGAGATACGTATTGTGGAAAATATTAAACACTGCTACGATGCCATTCAAATGATTGATACCATGATATAGATTTTACAATTTCCTGATAGGCTATGGTGGTTTCACGATTGTCATCATTGCACAGGCTGAGTTAATCATCCTTAAACCTGGTCGCCGCCTTGCTGCCATTGCGATTTCCTGCAAACTCACCCACCCCCTCCTGAAAAGGTACCCCCAAAATATCATACAAAAATACCGGTACTAGACCCTTTTATTGGGAGTTCCTCCCCCGTGCTCCAATTTAGAGTAAATTTTGTCAGACAGGGGGTGGGGGTGGGGGTATTTCATTTTCTGCTCATGTGGGGTAAACTTTGTCTTGTTATGATTGTAGGGGTACAAAATAGATGAAAATGATGGGTACTATCAAGAGATTGATCAAAAAGGAGGGGTGAGACTAACCTCTATTGAAAAACGGGGGGGTGGAGGCCCGGGGTAGGGGAATCGCCGAAGGCGACAGCACAGCATGGAGAATCCTCGTGGGAGAGGAGAGGGGAGGAAAGAGAAGAACGGGAAGGAGGAGGAGGAAGGAAAGAAGGAATTAATTATGTGTAGATGATAGATGGCTGATGAACAGGGAAGGGAGAGGAGAGGACAGGAGAGAAAGAAGATATAGATCCAGTTCAGGTGGACTTGTTGAGTGAGATCGGAAGGGCTATTTTTCAGGCAGCGATGAAGAAGAAACAAAAGAGTGAATTGATTAATGATCAGGGTGGTTGTGAGATGGAAACAAAGCAGGGTACAGTTGATGCCGTGTTTCGTCGATCTAGAGGAAACTTTAGTGGGGGAATCAATCAGCAGCTGAGCCAATTGCTGCTACTTGCGTGTCATTTCTTACAGTTTGGAGGAGAGGTTCCTGATTCTATCCTTCCAGGCCGTCAGGTTCTAACAGGAACGCTAGAGATCGAAATAGGATGTCGACAACCCAGTCTTTCACGCTTATTTTGTTTCTCTGGCTCCACGGCGTGTGCGCCTTCTACCTGCCGGGAGTGGCGCCGCGGAAGTATGTGCATGGGGAGCAGCTGATGGTGAAGGTGAACACCCTGACGTCAGACCTCACGCCGCTGCAGTTCGACTACTACAACATCCCCTTCTGTGAGCCCAAGGGGGGGGAGCACCAGCTCCCCGAGAACATCGGGGAGGTGCTGGCTGGCGAGAGGACGGAGACTTCGGCCTATCAGTTCCACACCAACGTATCGAGGCTGTGCAAAGTCGCGTGCAGGAAGACGTGGACCCCTCAGAACGTCGACGAGTACCGCGACTTCGCAGGAGCCCGCTTCCGGGCCAACATGCGCCTGGACAACCTCCCAGCAGCTGAGCTGGTGGTGTTCCGTGACCAGTACGGGAAGGAGTTTGTGTCGTACAAGCTCGGGTATCCCATCGCCGAGGTCTCTGGGTACAACTCCTCCAAGTTCTACATCAACAACCACCTCAGGTTCACCATCCGCTACCACAACGTGAAGCCAACGGGCACGCACATGGACAAGATCGACGAGCCAGGCGTCCTGATCGTTGGGTTCGAGGTGAAGGCCAAGTCTATCGAGCACAGGTACGAGGGAAAGTGGGACGAGAAGTGTGCGTCCAAGAACAGCTGCGAGCTGTTCACGTGCGACCCAAACAGAGGGCCGGACCCCAACGCCCCCAAGCTCCAGCTCCGAACGCACAAGAAGCAGGAGGTGGTGTTCACGTATGACGTGCTGTGGGTGCACAGCGACGTCAAGTGGGCCTCGAGGTGGGACGTCTACCTGAAGATGCAGTGGCAGGACGACGAGATTCACTGGTTCTCCATCGTGAACTCGTCGGTGATCCTCCTCTTCCTCTCGGGAATGGTGGCCCTCATCATGCTGAGGATCCTCCGCAAGGACCTGTACAGGTACAACCAGCTCGAGCAGAGCGAGGAGGCGAGGGAAGAGGCCCGAGAGGAGACGGGATGGAAGCTTGTGTCGGGAGACGTTTTCCGTCCTCCCAAGTACGCCTCCCTCCTCGCCGTCTACATTGGCAGCGGAGTCCAGGTGCTAGGGATGACGTGCTTCACGATCGCCTTTGCGGTCTTGGGCTTCCTCAGCCCGTCGAACAGAGGCTCCCTCCTCGCTGCCGTTGTCCTCCTCTTCGCATGCATGGGGACGCCAGCAGGTTACATCTCAGCGAGGTTCGTCAAGATGTTCCATGGAGCTGGGATCGACAGGCTGCGAACGACCTTCATGACAGCTCTGGTGTTCCCTGGCGTTGTCTTCGCCATCTTCTTCGGTCTCAACCTCGTCCTCTGGGGAGACAAGTCGACGGGAGCGGTGCCCTTCACCACCCTCCTCGCCCTCCTGGTCTTCTGGTTCGGCGTTTCCCTTCCTCTCGTCTTCCTAGGGAGCTTCCTCGGATTCCGCGCCAACCCCATCCAGAACCCAGTGCGGACTAACCCCATCCCCCGGCAGGTCCCCGATCAGATCTGGTACATGCGATCGCTACCCAGCATCCTGATGGGAGGTGTCTTGCCGTTCGGGGTTGTGTTTGTGGAGCTCTTCTTCATCCTCTCCTCCATCTGGCAGCACAGGTTCTACTACCTCTTCGGCTTCATGCTCCTCGTCCTCATCATCCTCCTCGTGACCTGCGCCGAGATCTCCATCGTCATGTGCTACTTCCAGCTGTGCTCTGAGGACTATCACTGGTGGTGGAGATCGTTCTTCACCTCGGGAGCGAGCGCCCTCTACCTCTTCCTCTACGCCTCCTACTACTTCCTCACCCGCGTCCACATTGCCAAGGTCTCTATCCTCCCCTCTACTCTAACTCTCTTTCTTCTTCCTACTACTCCTCTTCTTCTTCCTATTCCTCTGCTCGCTCCTGCCTGCTGCCTTCCTCCTCCTCCTCCTCCTCCTCCTCCTCCTCCTCCTCCTCCTCCTCCTCTCTCCTTCTGCTGCCATGTCAGTGACGAGCGTGTCTGAGCAGAAGGCGTCGGTGATCAGCGGACTCATCTTCTTCGGTTACATGACGGTTATCTCCTACGCGTTCATGGTGGTGACCGGCTTCATGGGCTTCATCGCCACCTTTCTCTTCATCCGTATCATCTACGCGTCCATCAAGGTAGACTAGAGGAGCGACATGCAGGTCGAGCTGCGACGAGAGCACAGCCAAAGTTGAGGAGGGGGAGAGTTCACGAGCAGGAGGTAGGAAGGAGGAGAGCAGCGGGAGAGGGAGCAAGAGCAGCGAGGAAGGGAGAGCGGGAGACGCTTGTTGTGCATCTCACGAGAGCAGACGGTGTAAAAGCAGAGAGTGTTTTTGTCCATGTCAAGAATGAAAGTGATTAGAAGTAGTAGCCATCGTCGTCTGCCTCGTCCATCTGCTTCTTCCTCGCTGCCATCAACGCCTGCAGATGTCGAGCGTCACCTCTCACTCGCTGTCCCATCCCATCACGCCCTCGTATCTTCCTCTCCCTCGCCTTTTCCCTCCTCTCCCCGTTCCCTCTCCCCCTCCCCTCCCCTTTCCCCTCCTATCCCCCTCCTCCTTTGTCCCTTCCCTCCCTCCCCTATCTGTCCGAGCTCTTCTTCTTTCCCTCTCCCCTCCCCCTCACAGCCCTCCTCCCCTCTGTCCTCCCTCTTTCAGTCTCCTCCACAAGGGTTGTGTTTCCTCTCCTCCTCCCTCCGCACACACCGCTAGATCTCCTTTCCCGCCCATCTTCTTAGGCGCATCCGATGCTCGTGGCGACGTCTGCAGAGCATGGTCAAGAGCACAAGGGCAGAGCGAAAGAGGAGAGTGAGGGGATGTATGCAGCAGGGAGCGAGCAGGACAGGGGGAGAAGTCGGAGGATCAAAAAGGAGGAGCTAGGGAAGCAGATTCATGAGCAGGAGCAGGAGGAGTAGGAGCAGGAGCAGGAGGGGAAGGAGTAGGAGCAGGAGCAGGAGGGGAAGGAGTAGGAGTAGGAGCAGGGGCAGGGGGAGAAGGAGTAGGAGTAGGAGTAGGAGTAGGAGTAGGAGGGGAAGGGGCTGCGGCAGGAGGATTCACCTTCTTTACCACGGGTTTCAGAGGCTTCTTTTCCTCCTTGACGGGAGGCTCGACGGTCTGCTGCAGACTCGTCAGGCTGGAAGTGGAAAGTTCGCTTCCTGCGCATGCCTTGACGCTCGGGGGTGGATCTGAGTGACTAGTGAGTACAATACTAGAGATAGACCAAGAAAGAGGGGGGAACCGGGGAGGGACGGAGAGGGGATGAGAGGATAGGAGGGGTAGGGAGGGGGGTCGAAGACGTGGAGGGGGGATAGGAGGGGTAGGGAGAGAGGAAGAGTCCTCACCAGAAGACTGCTTGGCTGCGGTCTTCGCCCATTCCTTCTCAAGATCCACTTTCTTGGGCTTCTGTCAAATGTCATCAGGACGAGAAGGAGCAGGAGGGAGTGCGAGTCTCCCTACCTCCGCCTTTTGCTCCCTGCTCTTAGCCTCGAACACCAGAACCCTGCCCACAGAGAAGCGAGTCAGCCTCCTCCTCCTCCTTCCCTCCCTCCCTCCCTCCCTCCCTCCCTCCCTCCCTCCGTCCCCCTCTTTCCCTCCTTCTCTCCCTCCCTCCCCCTCTTCCTCCCTCCCTTCTCTTCCTCAGTCAGTCAGTCAGTCAGTTCCTTACCCTACCCATCCACTCACTCACCCTCCCTCCCTCTCTAATTTGCCTCCAAGTCTCTTCACCTGCTCTGAGCGATCCCTTCCCAGTCGGGCGTGTCGGCTTCTTCTGCATCCTCCACCTGCAGAGCATGAGCAACAGACCCAGAGAAGAGAAGGCAGTACAGTGACGACTGCTTCCGGCACATCGTCATCCTCCTTTGTGGCTGGAAGGGGATGCAGGACAGACGCTGGGCTGATCACAGGAGGAGGAGGCTCGACGATAGGAGGAGGCTCGACGATAGGGGGGGAGGCTCGACGATAGGGGGGGAGGGCTCGACGATAGGGGGGGAGGGCTCGACGATAGGGGGGGAGGGCTCGACGGATGGGAGGAGG